AAAAATATAAAACAGAACAAAACAGAATTTATATTGAATTGGAATCGATTTTTATACTTTACACTAATACTTTAAATTTGTGCGGATGTGTGACAACATCCGAAAAGAAATGAGATAGATTTGTCTTTTATTACATAGATCGATTCAGAATCGCTTCCTGTCCGTCTGTCTCTGCATGATCTCTGTCTACGTATTTTTTTGTTCAACCTACAGATCACAATTTACATGAAATTTATATACATCGACGTGCTTTGACCCAAAGACACTCCCCCAAGAATACTACTGAAAATATTAATCGTATAAGGATCACTATTTCCAGCGTTCGCCATTTAATGCCATTTTTTTTAGAAATCTATTCACGTAAATAATTTAATTAAACAAAGTGTTGTAGAGTATTTGGAGTTTTAATGAATAAATCCTTTACTATGAAAACCTATATTATGAAATCAACAATAAATAGGTGTATAGTGGGCGTACAGTGGCTGGGCCCATCCAGAAGATGGTAAGTGAACGTCTGCCTCAAACTGAAAGCTGGATAAAGTCGTTTGCCCTCAATTGCTATCCACTAATGTGAGCAAAAGAAGAGAAAAGCTCCTGAATCTCAATCAATTTTTGGACGAGTATGGTCGCGAACGGAATGATTTAATTTGGGGATCGTTTAACTCTCGATGAACTTCGATCTATAAAAACCATCATATAAACCATCATATAAACTATCATAAATTCAAAATACATTTTCCAAAAGATAGCTTCCTACTCAACCGACGCAAGAAAAATGTTATGCGCATGCGCGTAAGGTTCAAATTGTCCATATTAAAGGAAAACTATTTTCAAATTCGTTGCTGGCAGTACGTGAGAACATACATACATAAATTCGAGCAGCGGGAAACGAATTCTTACTGTCGTATATAATCAAATCAATTCGACGATTCGACGATACGCACATAGTGTGTACACGAGAAACGCTATTAATTTAATTTAAAAAAAAAAAAAAATAAAAAAAATTTAATTACATTAAATTTACTTCAATTGCAATTTGTTTGCTTGTTTTTCTTTTTTACCAATTTAATTAATATCATTAAAGCGGCTTAATTCAATTTAAGCATTTTGGCCTGATGTGGTTTTCAAGCCATCATGTCATTGCCATTGTGTTTTGTTTTCATCAAATTTTTTTTAACTATTTTCCAACTTTAACTAAATTAATTGAGAAAATTTGCTTTTCATAGACAACATTCTACAGCATTCGCTTAGAAACATATACCTATATGCATACATATGTATATGGTGTTGGTAAGTTGTTAATGGAAAATGTTTCCATGATGACGAAATAATAAATAAATTTATTTATTCAATAATTTACTTTATATAAATTTTATTGAGAGTGCGTAGACAATTACATATATACTCACGCTCCATCACGCTCAGAATCGCTTGCAATTTAAAGAAAAACTCACATAATTTGATATGGACGGCACCTCTCTAATTATCTTAAACTCTTCAATAACTTAAAGTTAACATATGACGAACAATCTTAAGAAATATTTATTTTAAACTATCCGGATCGTTGATCTTTTGTACTTGGCGATGATATTTTTATACCCATCCGTTGATGGGTATAAAAATCCTTCGTTAAGGATAAGTGATATATTCATTTTGTCGCAATGCCAATGTTTGCAACGCCCAAAACTAAGCTTCAAAGACCCCACAAATTATGTATATTGTTGATCAGCATCATCGATCCTCGATCGATTTAAACATGTCCCTCTGTCGGTCTGTTTGTCTGAGTCTGAATGTCTATTGTAAACATTCTCCTGGCCGCTAGAAGGAAGCTAGCGACTTCAAATTTGGCAGAAACATTGGAAGTTCTTGCACGCAGGTTAATATTGAAAATGAGCCAAATCGATCGAAGGACTTGACCATTTTAGGATAACGATGATAAGTACAAAAGCTTCGGTCCCGATCCAATTTAATTTCCTTACTTTAATTTTAATTTTCAATCTAACTTTAAAGTAATTAAGTAATGAATAAACTGGAATGTCTTTCTTAGTGAAACGATTTTATTCATTTCCTTTAAATCCATTGAGCAGAATTAGCCCATTTTTTTTATATCTCTTAGCATTTAGTATTCAGTATTTTAGAAATACAAACACTATAGTGAAGCACAGCCCATCATTGCCGCGCAGTTATCCATACACCGACTTTTCAAAATATATGGAAAGTATATGAATAGTGTTCGTCCTTAGGCCCACATAGGTCAGTGCACCAAATCTTATAGAAATATCTCGAAAATTATGGCCTATAGGTTGAGCACAAGAAAACAAAACTGACGGATACAAAAATGGATTCAGGAAATTATTGTAAAAATAATTCTGGATCGATCAGAATCAATCTAGATCCTTGTCTGTCTGTCTGTGTGTCTTGTTTTCTTGTGTTCTACCTACAGGCCGCAATTTTTGGAGATATTTTCTATAAAAGGTCGATCTATCTCAAGTCGTTGTGGGCGTTGCATACACTCTCGTAGCAAAAGTGATGTGGAGTGTAACAAACTAAGGACATGTGGCTGTGGTTCTAATAAATGCATTAAAAGTATGGGCAGTGTATTCGCAGATGCCGGCTACAGTAGTAGCCAACACAAATTCCTATTATATTAGCGTAAGCATGGACTCTACAAAACATTATCCACTCGTACTAGTCTGCTTTAGAAACTTACTCATTAAAATTATTGTTCCGTTTCAAACATCGAATACTTAGCTTTTAATGCTTACTTTAAATTGCAAGAAGAAGAGATGTTCAGGCATTTCAAATACTGATAGGAAAATAAATTTATTGTTATCACGAACTATGATCTTCAGCTAAGTAAAAATAATACAAAATAAATACGTTATTGAAAATTCAAAAAATGCACAAACGTTGGATTTTCTTCTTTTTTTATAATATTACATAATTATTCATATTTAATAACTAATTGGTTTTAGAAAAGAAAATCCCTCAGCAAAGTCGCAAATATCGTTAGAAAATGTAGCAAATTTTCGAAACCTAACGAAGAAAGTATGTTCTTAAATTCATTCATTTTTGTGCTAGCAATTATTGTTGGCAGTAATTTTTCTAATTACTATGCTCGTACGTCCTCTGTCCATAGGACATAAAATTAAAATCGAAACTGGTTGAAAAATATTGATTTAATTATACACTACGTCACTTGTGGCGCAAGGTATATGAAGTTCGTGCGAACGTTCGTAAAATCCAAAATTGACCTAATCTTGTCTGTCCGTCTGTCCGTCAAACGTTTGTTCATGTATTTGTGTGCTCAACTTTTAGATCGCAATTTTTGAGATATTTAGATTAACTTTGATATACTGAAGTGTTTTCGCTCAAGAGAAAACACTTTACTGAAAATTGTTCGGATCGGACCACTTGCTTGATCAGTCCGTTATTTTGAAGTTGTTTTACATAGAAAAATGTTGTAATTTATAGAATTTCGAGACAAAAATCGCTTAGTAATAGTATTAGTCACTCTAACTTGGTGTGAAAACTTCGGACCGGACGGGGCAATTTTTTGAAATTTTTACCTCACAAAAAAGACTTAGTTTCCAATATTTCTTGGTGAAAATATTTCCATAATAATGGTTTGACATAAAAATCAACCTTATTGAATTTGGACCACATAGATGTATTTTTTGAATCGCAACCCATAAAAGGGTTCCAACGAAAAATCCGCCTTTATATGCCAAAAAGTTCTAATTTTTATTATTTTGTGATGCAAATTGTCCTTAGTAAATCAACCATAGCGAATTTGAAGCATGAGAGATTAGTTCCCATACCGTACCATATATAGGTACGCTCATGAAAGGGTACTCTTCTATGACAAGAAAATCTAATTTCGGTTTGTTATGACGGAAGCAATTGAAAAATAATGAAACCTTTGACAAGTAAAGTAAGTTTATTAAATTTAGACCAAGTTGACGTTTGGGTATTCTTCGAGATGAGTGCTTTCATCAAAATTATGCATTTACATAATAATTTTATATGTATGTATGATTTTTGATATATTATTAATTAACCGACGCGATATAGGGTATCCAGTGATCGGCCTCGCGCGACTGCGATACTTTTACATCTTCCTTTTTTTTCATTACTATTAATTTAAAATATTTTATTGCCTACTTGTTCGAGATATTTAAAATTAACTTTTAATTGCCTACTTTTCAGCACAAAATTAAAGATTTCTTGCCTATTTTTAAGTGGAAAATATGCAATATTTTGTTGCCTATAATGAAAAGTAAGTTTTATATTTGTTGCTCTTACAAAAAACGAAAACTTCTCTAACTTTAAAAAAATTCTTAATGCAGTTTTTATATCCTACAGCATTTGTATATATTACGTTTGTTGGGATATATACTAGTCCCTGAACGATTTGAGATAGACTCACCTTTTATTGCACCGATTGATTCAGAAAATGATTGTAAGCTCATCAGTCTATCTCTTCATCTAATGTTTGTCCATGTATTTTTATTCTTAACTTATAGTTCGCAATTTCTGAGAAATTTTAATGAAAATTGGTACTTGCTTCATGGAGTCACGCTAATGAAAATGATTTGCATCGGACAACTTTTTCGACAACTTCTCTAAGTTAATGTAGGGTATTTGATAGCGGGCCGTGCCTCACTATAGTGCTTTTACTTGTTTTATTTATATGAATATGTAAAACTTTTGACATTGTTTTGAAGAGCACGATTTTTATAAGATCTTTGAAATTCTGGCAAAATTTCGTGCCTTTAATATCTGTCTATTCAAAAATCCACTTAAGCACGCTTGAAGGGATATACGTATGTATGCATACATTTTTCAAAATGTCTGTATTATTCAATTTTTTGACCATTACTTATGCGATAAAAAAAAAAAGCTATATAAGAGGAGATTGAACAAATTCCGCGAACGGTTAATGCATACAACGGGGGCGAAAATGAAGCAAAAATTAATTACGCAAATTATCGACTTACCTTCTTTTCACCAAGCATAGGATTATTGGGATCACCAAAAACAGTAGCCTCCAATTGATAGTTAACAATTAAAGCTTTATCAGAGGGATGAGGTTCAATACTGCCACCTTTCCAACGTCTGAAAGCATCATGCAACAACAACAAATCGACAACAAACAATCGTTTGTAAACGTTGTTATTACAAAAAGTTTTTTGTAAATGATGATACGGTGACGGCACGTAGCATATATTTGCGCATAGTATATATCAAAAGGGAGAAAATTCAAGAGAAATGTGTGTGTCCATAGAAAAAGTAAGGGAAAAGAGAGAATAATACAAAGGAAGAAGGGAGAAAAACACTTGCTTAATAATATTTTCAACTTTTTCTTTTCTCACACGCACAACATATTCATTTACGTCAAACTGAAAAACAATAAAAAAAAATAAAAAAAATTTAAAAAAAAAGCAGAAAACAATTAATTATACATAGAAGAAAAACTAAGCGAAAGTTCTTTAACAAAAAAAAAAAAAAATACAAATAAAAATAAAAATATTTAAAAATAATAATAATAATTCAAATACATAAATAAAAGCACAAACGAAGAAGAAGAAAATTCAACACACAACTCGCAGAGAGCATAAGCAGCAAGAGTACGAACTAAGTGTACGAAAGTTTTTTATACACACCACGAACGTGCAAATGTTCACAAGTGTGTGTAAAGAAAGCACTTACTTTTGCACGTTCGTATCTGTATGTACTCAGTGTATTACGTATATATGTACAAATGTTTATTTATTTATTTATTTATGTATGAATGTGTTTGTGTTGTGTGTGAGGCGGTTGGACGTTTTTTTTTTTTTTTTTTTTTTTTTTTTTGCTTTTGCCTTTCGGGTGGCTGCGTGCGCGGAAAATTTATATACACAAGAAGGAAAATCGGAAAATCGATAAAGCTGACTGTGAAAAGAAATTTTAAGAATTTTCTCTTCATTGCTTATTTTTCCTGCTTATTTTTTTTCTACTTTTTTTTTTTTCTTATGATCGGTTTCTCATTTTTTGTTCTTGTTTCAATTTTTCAAAAATGATTTTTTCCTTCAAGTGGCCAAATAACATTGAATTTTTTTTTGTTTAACACACTTGTTTTTAACACAGTCAAACACACTCGCTCACACAACATATCTATATATGTATGTGACTCTGTGCCGGCTATTAAGAATTTTCTTAGTTTTTCATTTTTTTACTTTTAAAAATCGTTTTTTGTTTTTTCTCTTATTTTATTTTAATTATTTTTTTTTTTTTTTTTGGTAAAAATTATATGCGATTGATTGCTTTTATAATTTCACTCACTTTTTAATAAATTTTGCATCATCAGTGTTTTGCATTTTTTTGGTATTTGTCGGAATTTTTAAAGATTTTCGTGCGACCACTTCCTCGTTGGTTAGCTGTTGTGGTAACTGACTCGATTTGTTTAAAAGCGTTTCGCAAAAATCGCGAACAACTGCATTAGCGATATAACAAACGTAATGAATTAGAAATAGTAAAAGAGCTAGACCCGCAACTACTTGAAAGAGAAGTAGCAGCACTACTGGCATACGATGACAGGCAAACTACTGCACGGTACGCTGAAGCACTGTCTGAAACGAATCCGTCCGTTTTTCTTCAAATGCTTTTCTACTAAAAAAAACGTCAACCGTTTGCCGAAAGAAGAACACCTTCTCGTTCCAATTTGTTCGTTTTTATGTTTTGTTTTTTTTGTTTTTTTTTTTGTTTTTATGCTCTAACCATCGTCACTGTTAGTTACTACTAATGCTACTAATAATGACACAGCTATGTTTGTTTGTTTTTTTTTTGGGTTTCGTTCTCAACTTAACACTGTTCTATCAAATGTAACGGTCATAAAACAGCCGACGAGCAGCACAAGATATAACGGTCTCTACGCTAGCACTGTTCGCAACGTTCTGATTGGAAGTCATGCGTCTTTTTGTATTATTAGGTGTTGTTTTTGACATTAACATTCACGCGAGTTTCGTTTGTTTTGCTTGCAGCGATTATCAGCATAAATACAAATATACTGCATGTGCAGTGTATTTTGTATCTGTTTTTGTTTCCTTATTTTTTTTTTTTAATTGTCAGTTGAATTTTGCTTTTTATTTATTTCATCAAAATATTATTACCCATAGAGAGTTATCGAGTTTCCCGTTTTTCGTAATAAACTAAACTAGCGGGAGGAAAACCCTGATTTTTAATAGACTTTTTCAAAATCGAATGTGCTTGAACTTGAAAAAAAATGAATTGAATGAGTGAATTTGTTTATAAAATATACAAAATATATAGAAAAATCTTTATTTTTTTTAAATTGGCAGCACTGTCACAAACATCTGCGTCAAATTTCACATCATAAACGTGATTAGTGTCTTAGCCGCGCTTGATTTTGTACGACACAAAAAGTATTTTTCTCAATTTTTATAATGGTCGGCCTTTGTTCAACAAAGTTGAGCTGCATTCCGTTTTGCTTGCGATTATTACGGAAGATAAGATAGATAGATCTACGCTCGGAAATTCTAATCGGAAACAGTCGAGCGAATAGCGAGGTTAAAACCGAAATAACCGCGCCAAAGTCACACAAAAATCACGATGATTTTAGCAGTTTTTTTCAGTTATCATTTGGTAGTGTGCATTGCACTATGAACACCTTCCGCCAGGTCAAATTTTTTGTTAATAAGGAATATTATTTGAGTGATTATGAAGGCGATGAAATTGATTTGAAAGAATAAACAACGATTTTTATGCCAATCAACAAATTCGCATTAAATTTCACACAGGGTAATACATAATTAATAAATAGCAATCGTGGTAAATTTGATTTTTTACATTTCTCCCTCTTTTATCCAATCTCCGTACCCAGCCATGCAATGAAAATGTATTTTCATTAAATTTGTGTGGCCATTCTCCCGATATTTATGGGTTTTAATAATTGTACCGACATTTCAAACTATTGTCGCTTGCATTTTCTTGTGAAAGAAAAAAAGGGTAGACGTGCGGTCTCTAGAGTCATATTTTGCCGATCAGGTATTCGCTACTAAGAAGACAGAGTGGTATTAGATAAAACAAAGCGAATAGCAAAATTTAAATACCATAATTATTGTACGCTACACCACTCATCGTACACGGGTATACTGAGCTTGTGCAGATGTATGCAATACCCTAAAAGATTTGAGATGGTCTCATTCTTTACCACATTGATCGGTTCAAAATCACATTCCGAATCGATTTAATCTTGCCAATCCGTCTTTCCATTTTGGTTTCTTTTGTTCAACCTATAGGCCGCAAATTTTCGAAATGTTTTGATAAAATTTAGTATGCTAACGTGTTTTGGCCTAAGGACAAAGACTATTAAGAATGTTACGGATGGGACCACTTACCATGTAATGCCTTTTAAAAAAAACAAGCACCTAAGCAAGTGTAGGGTGGTACAAGCTATTGAATAGCAGGTCGTGCTCTACTACGAAGTTTTTTTTTGCTCGGCGAAACGGGTTTCGTTTTTAATAGGGATAGATCTGTTCAAGCTTGTGCCCAAAGTTTATATATGATCGATTTGAAAGTTTTACGAATTATTGAAATTCAGCTTTAGTTCATTCCAACAAATAATCTAAATTTCTTTCCATCCATTAGATAAGGTCGCGATTGCAACTCTTACGATCTCGATTTTTATATGAATTTTTTTCATTTTCACGAACTTTGTAAAACTTTTTATTCATATTTAACTTAATTCGAATTGGAATTCTTTGATAAGAAAAGAAATAAATCAATAAGAGTAAGGTTACAAGCAAATTTTGGAGGAGAGTTTCTTTGCGCTTTCTAAAGGATCGCAGGTGCCACATGCATATAAATATATGGACAAACAGTTGTGTTGCGTTGAAGGCACTATTAAGACAACTATTTAGTCCTACCATGTTACCGTCACGTTTTATTCTTTTATATAATTGTTTTCCGCATCACTGCTCGTTTCTGCAGGACGAGGGACAATTCTAACCAACTGCTTTTTTATAAGGTGAATAATAAAAAAATTCGTGTAAAATGAAAAAAATCGATATATTCTTTTAAACAAAACAAAACTAAAAGTAACGTACAGTAAAAAATTCGGTCCATAAGCACATTCAACATATAAAAATTGAAATAAGGAAGAAAAATGAATTCCCCAACTGTTCACGGCTACGTGATAACGAAAATACACGTAAACTATTATCAGTAGATATGTCGGGTATGTCTAGCACAACCGTCGGTTTTGATTCAAAGAAAGAATATCGTGCATTATTAACGGCCGAATAAGACTAAAGCAAGTCACTAAAGCATGTGTGGGCGTGAAACGTTTAATTTCTGATCGCAGTGTTCACTTAATTCTATTTTGTTGCTGTATACATAAGTTTTTGTGTTACTGTCACAATCACCCATCTCTCGTTGATGAGCCGTGTTATTTCAAAGTCGTGTAAAAAAAGACTTGGGTGTATTACTCTCTTTTGTTGCTTGAAGTACTGCCAAGTTTACTTAGTTATTATCTTTAAAACTCTACTACTGCTGCTAACGCTTTTATTGTCTTTGCTAAATTCAACACTGCAACGGTATTAAAGTTCCCCACATCACTTGCTTAATATTGCGTTTTGTCTTTGGTTGCTAAAAGCAGAAGTTCTCCCTGTTCAATAAAATTAAGAAATATGGGAGCAAATACTCTGACAGAACCAATTTTATAAATACTGCTTAATGCCATCGAAATGCTGCGGGTGAACTGATGCAAAATGAATTTCAAATTTTACCAATTTATTGGATTGAAGCGATAACTGTTAGGCGACTGCTACTCTCTATCTAGCATGCCATTACAAATGAATAGAAACAAACTAAAAACTTTCATTACAAATATATTTTAATTAAATGTTCGCATTTTTATTATCCTCGCACGTTCTTATACTCACATTCAAATCTCTCAGACCCATAGCCCATTCTGCTGCGCATTGAAAAAACTCAGCGTCGAGTAATTCAATTAAATGCACGTTTTTAGCATTTTTCTCAATTTCATGTAAATGATCTAAAACCATTTGACCACGTGTACAACTGGTTAAATCTACAGTGCAATGCCAGAAGCTTTCTTTTCGTATGATTTGTTTGTCAAATAAAAACGCGGCAACTAGCAGACCATCACAAGGATTCCACGCTTTGTGACCCGTGATTAAATATTGAGCCGACTCTACGGCGTTAAGTATATCAGCGACTGGATTAACTTTAGCCGCACATTTACCAAACGTTTCAAAACGCCATTTCTATTGAGGGGAAAAAAAAAGGCAAAATTATTTCCCAAATATTGAATTTAATCACTTACTATGCATATGAAAAATCGATCATTCATACAAGGTTCCCAAGGCAATATCGTTATGGGGCAGGTGGATTTTAATAATACTATATGTGCAGCTTCAGGATCGGCATAGAAATTAAATTCAGCGGCCCGGGTACAATTACCGATTCCTAGAAGAAATTGTTGGATCCTTCTAATCAAATAATTAATAACGTTAGTTCCATACCCTGATAATTCCCACCCATTATATACAAATGCTTGATTAGTTGGGCAAAGCTTTGACCATACATGGAATAGCAAAGCGCTATATTAGTTAATGGACCAATCGCTATAATCGTCACCTCCTTAGGATGCTGAATAATGAAATAACTTGCATTCGATTTTATTTAACTTAAAGAAATTGATCAAGCATTTTATAATACCTTCGCACACAATCGATTAATGAGTGCAACGGCATGTTCGGAACGAACCATATCTTTCACTTGAATACTGTCGTCAGGATGTAGAACATCACCGAAACCATCTTTACCATGAAAGGAAGGCTGTACAGATGAGCCCAACAAAGGTCCTGGTGCACCCAAAAACAAAGGTATCTACGATGTAAAATTTTAATTTAAAATTAAATGAAAATAAAATTTTCGATTTACCTCTAAGCGACCGCACGTCTTCAATATTCTTAAAATATTGTAAGCGGCATTATAAAGACTTGTATTGCCGCTACCACATACGGTTACGCCAAGTATTGTCAGTTGCTTCTCGGCTTCGGCTTTCAGTAGCAATATTAAAGCCCATGCATCATCACTGCCGCCGTCGCAATCAAGTATTACATAATTATGTGACATATTTTCAAGTCCTCTCTAATATAATGTCCTTTAGCGCGTAAATTTGTCTTTCTCTCCTTTCGTTCTTTAGTACAGTACTAAAGTACTTTACAGGAAATTTTTAATTTTATACAAAATTTTATTAAATACAGCGGAATACTCTCACCTTACTTTTCTCGCAATGACTTACAATGCACTGCACTATAAAAGTCCAAATTTTCATTTGTTCTTTTCATTTATTTGAAAAAGAAAACAAATAAATACACGATTACACGAACTTATTACAGTTATATTATAAATGTTTTATTACGTATTTCATACATAGAAGTTGCACTCTCTTGTTCGCTATCGCCATACTCGCAAATATCCGTTTCGTTGAATTAGTTCGAATTTCATGCACCCATGCACAAATGCATAAATATTTCTGGATCACTCGCATATATGGATTAATTAGGATATGTATAATTGCTATTAGAACGGAATTCAGACGTTCAAATACATTTGCTCCGAAGAACGGTGATAAGTTGAATTCAACTGTCTGTACTGAGGCTTAATAAAATGTTTGAAAAAATATTTTTTTTTTTTTTTTTTTTATATATATATATACAGTAAAAGCTCTTTATTCGCGGATTAAAAAAAAATGCGACCCAATTCCTACATTCGCGGCTATAAATTTCTTTATTAGCGGATTACTCCAGGCCCTTAAGCTCTATTATATTAGACGAACCTTCAAAATCATATTGGATAATATGGAATGTAATCCTGTTATGATCCATATGATGTTATGGAATGCAGGAAGAAATTTGAGATGGCAAAATGCATCGTAAACATAAGAGAATCATTGGAAGAACTGAAGTCACGCACATTAAAATCATGCTGGAAAAAACTGTTGCCTGCTCTGACAACGGAAAATGACAAAGAATCTGTGCAAGGTCAAACGTTGACTGCAAACATAGCTGAAATCGCGAATGGAATAGGACGAGATGGGTCCGAATAGATAGAATCAAATGACGTTCAGGAATTGCTTGCATCGCAAGATGATGATTTGACTGAAACCGAATTAGAGGAAATGTTAAATTCACAGCCTATTGAAGAAGAGGCTTCAACAATCATTCAAAACGTGACATTTAATTTGAAAAGTCTTAGTGAAGATTTAAAAATGGCATTGATCCGTCTATGGAACGAAGTCTTATAATTAAGAGGCAAATTCCTAATGCGACTGCTGCGTATCAGTCTGAGTTGAAGGAGCTTTTAAAAACTGCCAAGCAAGAGAAACTTACAAAATTCTTCAAACCATTGCCTAAGCCTTAAGATGTTTAATCAAGATGTTCAAAAACTTCAATTAAATTGATTTTTTTTTTCATTTTGTCACCTAGAAACGTATCCCCTATAATCCCATATAAATTAAAAATTTCTTATTCACGGTTTCTGTATTCGCGGCATATTTATGGAACATATACGCCGCGAATAAAGAGCTTTTACTGTATATATATATATATGTGGCCAACTACTTAAGGGATATCCTTTATATGTGGGACTGCAGGTAGAGGAGGGTGAAAAGAGTGTGAAGAGAATTTGTGTCCGTTTCATTTTAATATGAATTCTTTTTTTTTTTTTGTTTTGTTTTGTTTTCAGAGAGAAACATTTAAAAAAATTTACCTTAACCTAGAAATTCGTCAGCCTAGAAGAAGTAAAGAGAGGTATTTTTCAACAAACCAAAACTCCTAATAAGCGTAGCGACTCTGTTTAGACTTGTCTCCCCTTGTCATCATGCGGGCATCTTATTGGCACCTTCCTGGCCAAGGTGCCAGGCAATCGAAAGGTAGAAAATTGAAACTTTTCATACACTCCCATTAATTTGAGATACCTGATTAGTCCTTAATAACCTAGAAATAACGGATCTACAGTATATATTGGTTTAATTTGTCGCAGAAATGCTTCTCAGAGCCATGCGAAACTGTAATGCAAACATTCTTACATGCCCCTTAATTAACGTTATTTGCACTTTTCATGATGCATACGAACTAGCTTGAACTAATTTTAATACCTGCCCAGTTAATCTATCTTCGGGTTCAATTTTTATTCGCATTATCGAAGGTTAACGGCGAGCTTAGTGCGTCGAAACGTTTGCAGCATCGAGAAGAAAATTTTGGAGACCCTATAAAGTGTATATATATTCTTGATCAGCACAAAGTCAAATTTTTATTTGATTTACGCATGTCCATTCGTCCGCACCTCTATCCATCGGTACGCGGTTCAATATTGGCATTTCATTTTTTCATCTTTCCTTAAGATAAAGGTGTTAAAAATTCAGTGTACGGGCAAATGTAGTTTTCTCACTCGTCATAACTGCTTTTGCATGGGCAAATTAATAATCTTAGCAATTTTGTTATGCTAATATCATTAAGGTATTGTATTAAAAAAGTATTAATTTTGCTTATTTATCTGCTTTGTTGATTGTGTACACAATTTCAAGGGCAATTGTTAGCATTTTTCCTGCCCTATCTGATCTATCTATGGCTAGCGGTAACAACATTGCCACTTAGAACGACGCGTCTCAACAATCATCTTACAACAAACTTCAACATCGGAGAGATGTTGTTGAATGGGTGTTGGAATTCCACCTAAATGGGTGGCCGCGAAGCAGCGTTTCCTAGAAGATCTGTCCCTGCATGCATAGCACGTATATTCATTCTAATTTCGAGCAAAAATAATCCGAAATAATGCATTTATGACGATTTCATTCTTTTCATCAACTTCGTATGTAGAAGCCTTGATTATGAATAATGAAAATGTGTATGATATAGCATATAAGTGTGCAAAGATGATCATGGTTGAAGTGTGATTAACGCAGTTTCACAGTTTTGCAGGAGAGTTACGGAGTATTTCGTTTAGGGCACTGTCATGGTATCCTGGCACACGCAACTCATATTTATTAGCTTTCTATAACAATGCTTTGTCTGAATCTGGAAATGCGACCCGAACAAACAAGCAACCGGGCGAACAGATTAACGAATTAACTAAATTGATTTAGTACCGCATGATCAGAGATAATATATAAACTTTGCAAATGTGTGCGTGTGCTTGTGTGTGTGTGCTGTAAAATTTTCATCTCCATTGTACAAAATTATTGCATCGCTATTCTTCATTCGCGAAATGTGCATTAAACGTACCCCCTGCATCACTTGTATGGATATATTAAATTTGTGCGGATATATGTGAAACCCACAAGCAATTCAGATAGATTGAGATTTTATGATACCAAACCGTTCAGACTCACTTTCGAAATTGATTTAAGCATATCTGTCCTTCTGTCCGTTCAACCTATAGATCCCATATTTGTTACACTGACATCTCTTGATCAGGTAGACTTGTACTTACACTTTGATAGTGCAAAGATGGCCAAATCGAGTATAATTCCTCTCTTGTTATATTATATCTTTAATTGAATAATTTGAAAAATAATTATGATCGCATATTTCAATGCCTTCTTAATTACCTTAAAGTTAGCTTACGATGAAACAGTGTAAAGAGACGAAATAAGTCTTTCGCATCATTTGCTTTTCATTTAATTAACTTTTTCATATATCCATTTGCGACGTATATTACACGTTCCCTACGCAAAACCACATATAAAGAAACCAACGCACGTCAGGTATTACGGGAAGCCCGATACATATATGTATATATATGTTTATAAAGCGATTAAAAGCGATCTTTTACAAAAGTATTTACTTTCCCTTTGGAAATATTTCTTTTTACTTTTAACTTATTTTTATTATTATTACTATTACTCTTTGCATATCTATGTTAAATTCGAAATCGCTTACTGCAAAAATATACAATCTTTCTCAATTTTCCGAATTCTTCCGAATTTTTTCAAGACTCTATTGCAAATGTTGAAACGACCGAACCGTTGAGTAAATAGATTGTGTAATGGATAATGGATGGATTTTATAAATTAAATAAATATACCTATCTTTCCGATTTTCGGTAGAACTCGTAACTATGTGCATATGCGTAAAATAAATAATAATATCATCAAAGTAAATTACTTTGTAACCGAATATGTATTACTACGATAAGAGATAGAGCAATAATAATGAAATTTCAAAAGAAAAACATTTAATGCAATCAGTTAGATAGGCGAGACGTACGTTTATGTGAATATTGAAATATATATATATATATATATATATATATATATGTCTAATAAACAAACGCTGAACACACTATTCATTTTGTATTTGTTTTAAACGATCTTTTTCCTCCTACAATGAATATACATCGCATAGAAGCAATATAACCGAGATTATCGCTTCATTATTACGAAAGTACCTTGAATGGAATAATTGCGGGGAGAGTGTTTAAATATAAAATTCAATATTAAGATTGTGTTTAACGATGGAATAACGCGAACTTACGCTCCTTCTTGTCGTTACAATTATACAAACCTAAATGATCGAAACAATTTTAAATTGGATTTTTAACACATTAAACTATTATCTTAATGCGATAATAAATAATTAAATGCATACATACGCATTATACGCATTTATTAATGTATGTATATACATAGGCTTATATGCAAATATATATATATATATACATATATATATGTATATAAATATATGTACAAAATATCCTAATCTTGATGTACTACTACCTGGCTCAATTTAGACTATCACTCATTCGGAATACTGCTTATCTACAACATGCCTTCAATTCTTGACTTCTATGTCATGTTACTGGACATATATATATATATATATATATACTATTTTATCTAAACGTCTACAAAAGAAAAATAAAATTTAATTACGAAATGTAACGAAATAATAAACTAAACAAATAAAAAACATTACAAACAAATTTCCAAAATTTATTTATTTCGCTTGTGGATTTCCTGCATAACAGAAGAGGAAGACAAAATAAAATTATTAACCTGGACAAGAAATCACTCTGTTAAAGGCCTGTAATTGCGTTTCATTCTCGTTTCGTTTCGATTTTGTGTTTCCAGATAGACTTTTTTTATTTTCATTCTCTCTTTGCAAAGTAAATTTTAAATACGGCACCGGTACAAAATAAATTTTTGTTTAAATCGGACCTTGTTAATACTTTTCATCTATAAAAGCAGTATTTCGTAGATACTTCCTTATTGGTATTAGCAAAATTTTTATTTCTTTTCCGAAAACCTGTACTTCATCGCTTGCCTTTTTTTTCATTATTAATACACTGGCTTACGGTGATTAGCTTTCCAAGTGTTTTTCATAACTCTGTCAACATAAACAAAAACAAAATTGTCACTTATTTGCTATGAGTGTTCGTAAGGTAATTATATATCCTTAACATTGAAAACTTTTGCTCTTAAATCCATGACTGTAGAAATGGGTAACATCGGCTTTCAATCAAATCTCTACAATGGATGCCAAAGGAGCAACACCACCGGCAGCAGAATGTTCAGATGGGAGATTAAGTAAATCCAAAAATTTGAAAAGGAAGTTGTCCGACGACCTGGGAACTGTCCAAAAAATTGTAAATAAAAATGTAACAGAAAATATGTCGCAAAAAAATTGGTTGAACACTTTCGCTCCCAGCAATGTCAACGAATTAGCGATTCAGCCGAAAAAAATTGCAGAATTACGTGAATGGTTTCAACATTGCGATTCTATGCGAAATAAGCAGCCAGCTCAAATATGTTTGTTGAGCGGGCCGTCTGGTTGCGGAAAGACGGCTGCAGTATATGTACTGAGCAAAGAATTCCAGTTTTATTTACAAGAATGGATTAATCCTATAGATCAAGAGATTATATACAATTTGGGTGATCAAGGCTATGGAGAAGGATATAAAAACTCGCAATCTGAAGCGTTTAAAAGTTTTCTTTTTAAAGCTTCGCGCTATAGATCGATACTGGGAATTACCAATGATAAAAGGCGCCTATTAATGGTAGAGGATTTCCCTAATTTTTTATTAAAAGATGGGGATGCATTCCAAGAGATATTAGAGTGCGTTTGTTAATGAAAAATAAAGTTTCTTTCATGTTTTTAAAAAATTTTCCCTTACAACTTTTAGAGACTATCAAAATTATGGCAAATCGCCAATAATTTTTATTGTCACCGATAGTAAAAGTCGTGGCCTTAATATTAACTATAATCTCTTCACGGATCAACTCAAGCAAAAATTGTTAATACAGCATATAAACTTTAATGCCATCGCTTCTACGCTTATGCAGAAAGCCATGAAAAGATTTTGTTCCATAATTGCAATGCAAACTGAAAAAGAAATGTATAAAGTTCCTGCAACCGTCATAATAGATTCAATAGTGGTCTCAGCTCAGGGAGATATACGTAATGCTCTAATCAATTTACATTTTGCTGCGTTAAATGGAGTACCCGGAGTACTCGTGACATCTTTAGATAAGCCAAAGGATAGCAAGTTAATGATAAAAAAGCGAAAAAGTCAAAACAGTTTAAAGTCGATAGGTAAAGATGAATCAATAACAATGATGCATGCTTTAGGAAGGGTATTTAATCCAAAATGTGAGTTAAAGTGAAATATGTATTTTTTTATTTTTTTTTTCAAAATTTTAACACAATAATTAATAACTTCATCTGAGATAATTTTTTTTCCACATTTCATATATATTTTAAGATGTAGATAATCAAGAACGTTTCCTGCACAATCCAGAAGATATTGTAGATGCTTTCGTTACGGAACCAAAAAAATTTACTGATATGCTGCAGACTAACTATTTGTCGCATTTCCGTGAAATCGAGTACATAGCTCCAGCCTCTAATGGGCTTAGTTTAAGTGATTTACTATTTCAAGAATATCGTGAAGATACTTTAGCTCACGTTGGTTTAAATATAGCAATTCGTAGTTTAATGGTAACCAATAAACAACCAATTACTGCTTGGCTACCTGTTAAAGCTCCTAAACGTTTAGTGTTGGACCATCAAGCGAAGCTACCGAAAGAAGCTGCACATCACTTAATTAAACCTTATAACGTCTCTTCGAATCTCTATAACACTGATTACCATACCTATGTTAAAATTTTATCACAACAAAATAAATAAATAATTCATTATTGCTTAAGCTTATTTCTTTCTTTATAATTTTATTCCAATACCGATGCGAAACAAATATAATTTTTATAAATAGAACTTTGAAAGTGTTATAAATAATTGTTATTTTATTTTTTTATAGTTGCAATTTTAAATTAGGATAAAAGATATTAGAATCTTCAATGTACAGTGGAAATATAATAATAGTGTGATTCTCTATGAGTTAATTGTATGTATTTTTTTTTTATTTATAAATGTATATTAAATATATGTTTGTTGCTTGCTACTCCTTCATGTAGGTAGACGAAGGGGAGATCTTTGACAAAAGGAATACTCAGAAATGCGACAAAATGCCAAATAAACGCAATTAACGCATTGGCCTTTGAGAATGACGATCATAGAATATTAAGTAAGCTGGTACACTTAAAACCTCATCAATCGAAACTTCTCGCACCACAGTGTCGGAAGTATAGTACCAACTAAAATGATTAATGAAATTTGCAATAAATGCTGCCAATACTAACAATTGAGTAAACATACCGATGAGCGTTACGTAGAGCACCTCTTCTATAAGTAACAAAATGACCGGAATTAGCTTCACCTGAATGCACAACCACAGCCAATAAACGGTAGAGATTACGAGGAAACATGGGTCCAAATTTATTACTCACACTTCCATATGATTCACCCAAATTGTTCATAGGTAGACTAGAAGAGAACAATGACATAGTAGAACCCCAAGGAGTACCAGCCTAAAACGAAAACATGGAAAACAAGAAAGAGATTATATTTTGCATAGACCAAGTCTTCTGATACCTACCATTTTTACAAGTTATCTTTTAATTTATATATATTAAACTTCAAGAGAATATATTTCAAATATGTATGATAACCGTAGGACTAATCCCACGCCTCGGCATATTAGACATCGTCTTCACAAATAACCTATTATGGAGCGAGCATATTGCCTACTTTATTTTTAAACTAGGAACAATCAACAACTTGTATGTATAAACAACTTATATGTTCACAATAGAAGGGGGCTCCACATTAACACAGCCATCAACATTTGCAAATCTGTTGTTATCGGGATATTGTCCCACGATATTACAATTTATTCCCCTTAAGGGTAAAGTTCCTAGCTTTAGCGAATTTCGAGAGAAATTGGCCGTAAACAAAACCTTAAGCTGACCTTACGATGGCCTTCACAATGTGTTTTAATACCACATTTCCACACGCAATAGAAATTCGTCTTCTTTCGTAGCGAAAATTTTAGAACTTCTCTCCACATTTAAAATAGTTATCGCAAAAGCCCTGTTGAATGTACAATATCCATTAACATTTTGATTAACGGCAGCCTTCCCAGTCTTTCCAAGGATATCGCTAGTCATATTGGCTAGACGGCTCTCTTAGCTGATAAGCCCAATCTTGTTCGTGGATGATCTTTTGATGGTATTGACACCTCTTCTTCTTCTATCGCGAAACAACTGTCACGTTGACTGCTTGGAAGTATTAACGAATGTTCCGCGGAACTGGCTGTTGTTATATCAGGTAGGTATCAGGACATATACTTCAGTCTGAGTGTCGTCAGAGCGATACGATCCAATCGTAAGAGTTATTTTGGTCACGATTCTTTGCATTCCCTCCCATATTGGGATTGACGGTAATGAGCACGCGGATCAGATTGCCAGACGCAGCCTCTATCACTCTCATATATCGGAACCGCCTTATCTCCCTCAGGCAATCACTTCACCGCATAAGTCCATTAAAATCGCTATTAATTTCAAAGATATTTCTACAATCTATTAAATCTACTGTTTGTAAGCCATGCTACGATAATCTCTTCACCCGAGCCGAATGCGTTCTCTTTGCATTCCTTAAAGTGTATAAGTCCTTCATCAATACCAAACGTTACTATGAACAAACTGAATTTCCCAAATGTGTTTGTTGTAATGTCTCCCTTTCTCTCGGCCATAATTTTTCCAAATGTCCTTTTCCCAAAAATCAACGGTTCCCTTGAGTGGTTGTTTGACTGTTCTAGAAGAGATATGATTCCCGGAATTCGCCTTTCTTCCCGAACACACGCATCAATTGATACACAGATCATACTTAATTTATTACCATAACTTCTCTAGTTACAATAGTTTTTTCTCTATTTCTGCAATGACTTGTTTATCTTTTTCAATTCACAACAACCTTTGCTACTGAACAACAACAGGCGCATTTGATCTAGTTATCCCGCACTTTTTAAACCATATTTTGTAAATTTATTTATAAAATATGCGGGAAATAGACAAATAAATGGATGAAAACAAATGTAATATCCTATGTAAGAGTAAACAGCTCATTGCATAATAGCAATCTAGTTTTTATGGCAGCATTGCTGATTCACAAAAATGACGCCATATGTAAGCACCACACACCTACTTAAAATAACACGGACAAACAATAAAATAATTAATATATCCTTAAGAGTAGGCGTAGTAGCAGAATAGAAATGCGGAGACAGATCGATAATTGCGTTTATGCCCGATTATGAGCAAATTATGAAACTATATAGGCAGTTTCGCAATATAGTGTAAGCACATTAGGATCAAGGACATAAAAACACGTAAACGACCAAATCGATCGATTTACTATTAATGATTCTTATACAGATAATAAGAAGTCTCAAAATTCATATAGCTTTATATTAAAGGCCTGATATACTTCCTAATGTGAATACAGAAGAAGTCATATAAATCTTATTATCTCTTACCTGACTATTTAAGTGTGGTTGTACGAAACTATAGGGTGCCATTGACAAGCTTTCGGGGAAATGTACATAATCTTGACGCTTGCATACTTGCCCTGTTGGTAACCAAATGGTGCGAGCAATATGTATGCAAAGACAAGCCGGTAATTTCGCAAATGTCAAAGACTTCGTGTGAGTAGTGGTTTCTTTGCATGTTTCACACTTGACATCCGTAACATCTTCCGAAGTTATGTAATCACTTAACAATTGGCCCAAACTGAGACCCGTACGTTTTTGTGACGGCAAATTTAATGTGATGCTATCAAATTTGTCATAACGCACGGTAGACTAAAAAATGGGGAGAATTAAAAAAAATCTTCAAAACTTTGATAAAAATTGTTTGCTAAACCTTAAAGCCGCAGGCGTTACAAATGATTTGGGTACCCATAGCGCCTTGAAATGGATGTGGTACTTGTGTAGGCATTTGTTCAGACCATATCTTCAAAAAAAAGTAATAGGTTAAAGCGCAATCAAAAAAGCAATCTTATAAAAAACACCTACAGACACCTTGCCGGGACCGCGGCTTAAACGTTCCAACGAACGATACGCATTAGATACTCGTTTGTTAATAACTTCCTTTGAACGACTAGGTCTGTCGATTTGGCCTCCCAGCATAGGTATGGCGAAGAGATCAGCTTCCAGAAAATCAGTTGGATCGGCTTTCGCTGACAAGTGATCTCCTGCTAATTCCCTTTCAACGACAGATGCCGGTGAATCAGGTGTATGGGCCTCAGAGCGAACTAAGCGTGCAATTCCGGTGGCCTCATCATAATCAGCGTTCAGAAAATCAGTTAGCATGGCACTTGAAGGCCGATTAAGTAGCTCGCCGTTACCCTCACCTATAGGCAAAGCGTCCGATAAAGAACCCACTTGCTTTGGGCGATGAGCTTCCTCTTCTAATGAGGATAGCATAATATGAAATAACTCATGAGCGTCATGTTCCTCCTGAGGTATAACCCAACCCAGAGAATTCAAAGCCCGCAAAACACCTCCGGGTGAATAAGGATCGCCGCGTAAAGTTGCGTGGGTGCCATTAATAACTTCCAAAGTATTTAACAATGAGCTAATAAGGCTTTTGCGATCTGGTGTGGCATTATTGTACAATTGCAACCAAGCGATAAATTGCGGGCAAGCTGCTAAGGCTTGGAGTAGAGTATTCAAAAAGCATGTTTGGCCAAAGTTATGCAGACCTGCTATCTGACCCCGACGCTGACGTAGACGTGAAGAACCTTTAAAATATCGAAATAGTTTCTGAATTTCCCCTTTTAGCGTCAACTACGTAGGACGTCCACTTACCCGAAGGGCCCCAGAAAACAAATGCGCCTACTACAGCCGCTGTTGGTATTAGTTTTTTTAAAACCAAGAGAAATTTTATTAATTGTTTGTTGTTTTAAACAATAAAAGGAAATTATAACATTTTTAGCTTGGTGTTGGTGAGAACAAAAACATTTTTTAAAATATGCCTTTTCAAAAGTATTTTGTTGAACTGAAAAATTTACGCTATGAATTATTGAAGTGTTCACGTTAATAGAAAATCAATCATAAATTTTTAAACTAAGGTATAAATTTTTTGTGCGATACTATAGCGTCAAATAAAAAAATCGTTAAGAAAAAAATTGAGCTAAAAAACAGCTATAATTTTAATTTGAAAAACGCTTCAGTTCTGGTGTGGTCGGTCGTTCTTCATATTTCTTCTGGTTCTTCTTACTACTTTTGAACGTCATTTTGCTTTAATTATTAGCGATGTTGTTGTTAAACATCTATGCATAGATATACTCTAACATAAATATTAAATATACTTAAATATACTCTTATGTTTTTGTTACCGAATGTAACACCAGCAGCCATTAGTATTTTATCACTTTCCATCACTTCTTATAAAAATGCTGTTTTTTGAAGAGTATTTCTAATTAATTAAAGCAAATAATCCGCAATTTTTTACATTTTTGTTATAGTTTTAGTATTTGTGGAAAAACTTAATGAAAATTATCGATACCGTAATAACAGCTGAGAGTTTCAAGAATTGTTTTTAATGACGGAATGCATCTTCTTACTTTCTCTTACATATTAGCAATAATTGATAGCACATTTTTTTCGATTTTGCAGTTCATCTCAAAATCGTCAAAAATTGTTATCTTACTCATCGTAATATATAGACTAATTGTAGTTTTATAAATATCATATGAATTTTTCTTTCGAATTTCGACAATAATTTTTGGAAGAGTTCGCTAAATTTTAAATTTTCGTCATTGTTTCGCAGAAATTGCTAACTGTTTAAGGCAATACTGAGTGTTTTGGATAATACTACCAAACAGAATTTAATTTTTTATAACTATTCGGAATTTGAAAAATTCTGTAAATTGAAATTCAAACGGAGCATGACAAGTATTACAACTGAAACCGTTAAATCTTTTTGCCGCGCTTGCCTTAAAGAGTTACCTCCTCGCCAACGTTACACTATTTATTGTTTAGATTACCGGGTTCGCTATTGGCTTCAGGATGCGACTTTGAAAAATGCTTTGGCCACTGATATTTACTCTCACTTTATTTGTCGTGATTGTCGCGAAAAAGTAGAAGATTTTCTTGAGTTTCGGGAAATGTGCGCCCGCTCCCGAAAGCGGGTGAAGGATTTAGCAGAAAAAGAAGCACAAAAAGCTCTTAAGACTCTCAGATCGGAATATCATGTTTCAGATCCAGCACTCCAGACAAAAATTTTGGATGAAATTTACGGATCAGTAAGTTGGACAGATATGAGTGAAGACGACTTTAATAACAATGAAACCGTGGATGTAGGTAACAAGTTAATTTTCAATTTGAGCTAAACTTACTCTTGAATACTTTTTTGCAGTCCGAGGATTTAAAAGATTGCGAAAAGAAAAGTTGGCTACCTCCATCGCAGATATCGAGTCCTTATAAACTTCGAGATTCATTTGGATATTTTCCAGATATTGAAAACCAGAGTGATCATGATCATAACGAAACTGAAATTAGTCAAAAAAATGTATCAAATATTCTTTATCGTAAACCTACAAGTATGTGCAGCGTTTCTATTTGTTCGGATGACAGTAAGAGAAATAACGAAAAACCAAGACTTTTGACCAAAGTAGACACTATTACAGCTAACACTATGCAAACTGAAATAACAAATAAGAAATTTCAATACCATCGTCGATGTGATCAGTGCGAACGCCATCTGAATGAAGAAACTCTACAACAGCATATACGCGCTCATCAAGCTGTAATGTCTCATTGTCCGAATTGCGAACGCAATTTTGATTATCCAAATTGCTACAGACCACATGTTGAAGAAGTTTATTGTGACAACAAATTAAACATTGTAGGCGAAGACTCCCAATATTGTCCGATAAGTATTTCATCACCCAAATTAAAAAAAAACGGTGTTAGCCAACAGGCATCATACAGGAGTCTTCATTTTTGCGAGGAATGCGGAAAGGTGTGCGAAAGTCGCCCGCAACTCAAAGACCGCATTTCTAGTCATAAACCAAAAAATCTATATCCATTTCAATGTAAAGAATGCAACAGTTGCTTTAAAACGCAAAGGAGTTTAAGAGGACATGAACAGCGACACGCAAGCAATAACATATTTGAATGTCCACATTGTGGAATGCGAAAGAACACGTACCACGAGCTAAAAGCACATATAAACCATCACACAACAGCGAAGCAACAGCCATGCCCAAAATGTAATATGGTATTCAATAGTGCAGGAGGGTTGACCATGCACGATCGCATTGCACACTTTGGTTTAAGACGCCTCAATTCTCCGAAAACTAAAGATTGTACTGTGATAAAGCAGGCACCATCAGGTCGTCAAACTGAAAGGCCTTTTAATTGTCAGCAATGCGGCAAACGTTTCATACACGCAACAGCCTTGAAAGCTCACATGAGAACTCATATAAACTGCTCTCTACAGCCTCATAGATCAGTTCCTAATTTAACTGAAGTCTCAGATGATAGCGTGTAATTAATATGCCCAATGTTCTCTTATGTTTAAATTTTTGTTTCCATTTTTGAAATTATTGTCTATTAAAAAAAGTGAACAAAACCGAATATGTCGTCTATTTTTTAAAAAAGCAATCATTAATGATACGAAAATTAGTATTGACAGCGAAATTAACGATAGCACATCAACTTATCTGACTTTAACTATAAAAAGAAGAAGAAGAAGAATAGATAGTCATATTCTGTATTTGTAAAAGGAAAATTGTTTAGAAGAGGAGGAATTTTCTTTAAATTGCATTTTAGTTAATGTAATTGTCATAAAAGAAGTTGTACTCTTATATATTTTATTACTATTTTATACCTAAAGAAAGTAAATGATGAACGTTTGCGCTGTGGCTACCCAAAGAAAAGATGTCGATGGCGACAATAGATGGTTAAGGTATGATATATTTAATGGTATGTTTGCTTTTAGCTATTAATTAATTGCTAATTCACTGTATCTATAGTATTCATCGTCGTTTTTTATTGGAATGCCAAGAAAAAGATCCAGATGTTATATTTTTGGGGGATTGTATTTTAGAAACGTTACAAGATACCGAGACATGGCATAATTATTTCGCACCATTGCACTGCCTTAATTTTAGTATACGTGATGATCGCACCGAAAACGTGCTGTGGCGTATTGAAAACGGAGAATTAGACAACGTAAAACCAAAAATTATAGTTTTACATGTAGGAACCAATAATATAGAAAACAAAGGCGATGATATAGCAAACGGCATATTTGAAATTGTTCAAAGAATACGTGAAAAACTTCCAGACACTTACATCGTATTACCTGTAAGCATATCGAATTAAATATGAAGCAAAATTAGAACTTTTAGAGCTTTTATATAAACATTTTTCTATTATAGAGTTTACTACCTCGCGGTCATCAACCAAATGAATTACGTGATAAAAATGCTGAAATAAATAAGCTGATTAAAGAGAAAGTTATTGGTCTAAATCGTGTACAAACGGTTAGCATCGACAAGGGCTTAATACAAGCAGACGGTACTATAAGTCATCATGATATGTTTGATTACAAAAATCTAACCAATACTGGAGCGAAAAAGATTTTCGAACCAATTCACGATTTACTATCGCAAATACTCAATGAAAATGAAAAAGAACGCGACCTCACCCCTTCCGAATAGTCGGAATAAAGGCATATAAATATACGTACTCGTACTCTTACATGTAAGCACGTACACAATGAAGGCATCTATTTATTTACAACAAACGTGTCGCTTTTCCACTTGCATTAGATCTTTATATATAAAAAATTACTGGATTCATCTTAAAATTGCTTTCAAATTATTTCTCGCAACATGCAGCCAGTTAATTTCTCATTTTCACCATTATTCCTCGTCCTCCTCCTCATACCCCTTTTTTGCTCCACTTATTTTTTATGCTCTTGTATTCGCGATTACTTTATTTCGTTTATTCAACATTATAGCTATTAGCTTATTTTCTTCTAAAGTTAGTTAAGGATAATCATTCCAATGTATACCAAAAAGAAGAAAATATTATTTTTAAGCTGCTCAACAGCAACTAGAGAAAAAAGATTGATCATCCCCCATCTTTAATATTTAAGAAACACTTTTCACTTTCTACTTTATCAGCCTTTGCATCGAAGAAACCTACGACACCTCATTAAGTGAGCAATCACAACAAAAAGTCAATGAATTAAATAAAATAATTTTTTTTTTTTATGAAGTACAGTTAATAATTGGAGTTTGACTTAATTGATAAAATATATATATAAACGTTGATCAGTTGGTCATTCAATTTTTTAATGTTATTGCAAAATATTCTTATATATATATAATTTTCGATCTATTGTCGACGTGGTAGCGAGCTGATCCTACTTATTTTCGAATCCAATTTTGGGCCTTAAACTAATAATATTTATGGTGAATGTAACTTCTCAGACGATAGGCAGTCAGATACTTGTTAAGCAGATATATATTTTACATTCATTACATAATTCTCCGGTCAGTATTCCTAAGTGTCATAAGTGAACGGCCACCCAAGCTTAAATCGATTCAGAGATAGATCCAGCTTTTATTATGTTGATCAATTCCAAATCATTTGCTGAATCGATCTAAACTTGTCTGTCCGTCTGGCTTAGTCGTTTGTATTCAAAAATTTTAAGATATTTTGATGAAATTTGGTGCAATAGTGTGTGTGTGTGTGTGTGTGTGTTTGTAGTGTGTTTTGGTCCAAGCGTGAACGCTGTTGAAAATGTCTTGAATAGGACTACTTATTCGACCCCTTTAAGTTAATCAATGGATAACTGCAGGATGATGTAGCATATTTAATGGTGGACCGTGTCCCATTAAGGTTGTTTTTAAAAATTTGTTTGAAAAATATATTGACGGGTGAGGTGGGTGAACTAAACCGGACTGCCAGGTCTTTTCTTTCCCACCTTAATGTGAAGTACATTTTCATAGACTTGCGACATCCCATCAATCAGTAATTGCCGAGACTGATGCACAAATATCGTCTCTAATAGGCACTCCATGTTACTTTTGAAGACGACTACCCTTTAAATTATGCCTATCGAAATTTCATCTCATTTCGTTCTTTCGTTTGCAAGCTATACTGACTGACGCCTATGTTGTTGCTTTGAGAAAAAAAATCAATCAAATTAAACGTTACTTCTTGATGGGAAAAAGTACCGGTCAAAGTCTGCGTTGCGGCACTTCTTCTCTGTTGAAAAGTAATTCCAAATGAGGTCATATGGACGTCAATCTTGAAGATTTCAAGAAACAGGTAGGTATTCACTACTTTACACAAATATATGGGCATAGGAGAAGAATGCATTGTCGAGGAGTGAAAAACGCCTTCTCATTAAAACGTCATATTTCAATCAACCCTAAAAAATTTGTTACCCATCAATTGCCTATAATGCCGTTGATATATCATACCTGCAATTCTCGTCGGATATTCGAAAATCTGATATCTGAAGGGAAAACTTTTGGTTAGCGTTGTTTGGAATTATATTTTTGTCCAATTCTTTACCATCAGTTCATAAACTAGGTTATACTAATGAGATATTGTCGAGAATTATTTGAAAATATTATTTCAGATATCGGGTGTCTAACTGTAAGTTCTCTGTTTCTTATTTCTTTCCTTTTCAAAGTAGAAAGTGTAGACGAATCTTACGTATATTATTTGACAATGTCTTGTGTCTCTGACTTTTACTTCATTTCATTTTTTTAGTTCTTTACTTTTCGATATCTTTCTCGGTTCTTTTGCGTCATTTATAGAAAACATTATATTCAACTATTTGTCAATTTTTGAAAAACATTCTATTTTGTCTAATTCATAAAATTTTTTTTCGCATAAATTGAAATATAAAACAAAAGGAACCAAAACCCCTGTGTAAATATATCAAATCCCGACGAAGAGTTTTTTCGAACTAGCAGATCATGTAAGAAACTATTGGGCAAGTCCGAATGTGCCAATAAATTTATTAAATTCAAAATTCCCAAGAATGCGCCAAGAATGCACTGAACAATATACTACGCGATGAAACAATTCTTGTTCTCGAAGAGAGAGTTTATTGAGGATGCGTAAGTGTTTTTTGTCTACAACATTTCATCTTGTTTAGGTATATTCTCGCTTTACCGTATCGATCGCGTGCAATTGTTGTGTGAGAGAATGATGAAAAAAGCGTTCGATAGAATCAATCGATCTTAGAGTAGAAGCTAACCGATTGCTCATTTGTGTTTTATTTCCGATTTATGGTCTCATTCGTTACGTCCGTCTTTCTATCTATCAATCGTCAATCATTTGATTTCAATGATAGTATAAAATTGATTTCTATTTATTTGTTACTTCTGCCGGGAATGGTTCGCGTTTGCATGGATCGTTCGCATTAGACTTGATGATGGTGGACTTAATTTTTTTTTAGTTCAGATGGCAAAGCAGTATCCATTAGAATATAAGATTTCGTTTTGTTCGTTTTTGCTCGAAGCGTCTTCTTATAGCGTAATATTTATCCCTAAGGAAAAAATTTGAGCTCCACGATTTATGTATTACATATAATAAAGCTTGTTCGCTTCATACAATTAAGGTAAAATTTGGAAAATTAATAATGATATTAATACGGAAATTGCTGTTGATTAGTCTTGAATTGAGAAGACGATCAAGTTAATATTTGAACATATTTGGACCAACAAATCGATTATGTATATAACCACTGATACATAGAAAAGCTAAAGAAAATTGATGTTCTAACTTTGTTTTGAAATATCAAAGCGATTTAAATCAACTGGATGCTTGAACGGATAGTCTCCTGTGCATTTTTTTTTTTTTTTTGCAGCCTTCAAGCACTTAGCAAATAAATTTATTGAGTTGAAAGCAAAAGAGAGCGACGTAAATGAAAGGGAAGAATAATTGTGTATTCGAGAGATAATCGCTAAGATTCTCATACGAAACAACTTAAAGTAAACAGATTTTTATGGGTCTCTGCGGTCTTTCCTGGCTGCTCTTTGTCTCAGTTTGCCTTAATGTCAACGCAACTCATGTTGAACATTGCTTTCGAATTGCTAAAGACGTCTCTTTAATGTCCTTTTAAATGTACAGTAAGGCAGAATTGAGTTGAACTGAGTTGAAAGAGATCTTGATTATTGTTAGTTTAAAGTTTTAAGAAACGGTTTGCATGAATTGTTGCATTTTGCTTTTATTGTATCCACCTTGTGCGTTTTGTTAAAATAAGAAAAGTTTATATTAGTCGTCCCGTATACATTTTAGAAATACTTAGCAACTGGACCACTCTTACTTAGACTTAGTAAAGTTATCTATCTCATGAATTCTTGACACCGTCAGATACATTGTAACTAAAAAATCAAATTAACTTTCTATCGATTCATTTATGGACACGAATTTAGATTAGCTTCCACGTTTATTTGGTTTTATTTATTTATTTATTATTTGAATTTTTTTTTTTTTTTTTTATGTCATTCTTAAACTTTTATTTTTAAAATATTTTTTTAATAAAACGCATTAAAAATATGAATGCTTTATTATTATTATTATTATTATTATTATTATTTTAAATTTAAAAATAATTAATATATATTGGCAATTTTCAGTTTCGTTCTCTTTTCATTATAATTTATATGAAAAATTTTCTAATTGTAAATTATAAACATAGAAAGAAATAATAGGCATAACGACATCAAACGATGTAAAAGGTAAACCGAAGTGATGAATGAATACTGCGTTTACAAATATAATAATAAATACGTACTGAAAAGTGCGATAGCAAAGTTTTAAATTACAATACATTTTTTTTTTTTTTGTTTTTTTAGTTTTTTTTTCTCTCATGTTTTTACAGAAAGTTTATAGATAACTAAATTATATATATATATACATGTATATATCATATATATATATATATGATATATATATGTGTATATATATCAAAAAATTGCATTATGAAAAATTATTCAAAAACGTCTTACCTTTTTTGTTTTTTTTTTTAAAAAGATGAGACGATTATAAAAAGTTTTCAAAATACACGCTACGCGCACATGTGCGCATATTTGTATAATACGTAAATTTGTATGCATTAAATCTTAATGGAATACAGTTAGTTAGTTATTTATGTATGTATGTTTAGAAGAAAGATAAAATCCAAAATGTAAATTTACTAAAGAATTTCAATTTCGTAGTATACGTTTACGTGAATATCAATCAAGCTTGTTCGCTTCACAAAATTTATTGTATTTTCTTTTTCAGTTTATTCTTTAATAATCCCGGCACCAATGACAGACAAGCGCACATTGTTAATACACCCATTGAAGTCCAAGAGAATGCATCGCTGGAACTGCTCATCTTTTGTAATGTTTTACCCGCTTGTATAGCAATCACTGAGGGCGGTGCAACGCCACAGAACGTGCCCAATGTAAATGTATACAATGGTACACCAATAACCGGAGCTGCTAAATTAATAAACCAATTGGGTAGAATCGGTGTCATACGCAAAAATAGCATATAGTTGAACAGGCTGTCGCGATGTTTTTCCACATGTTTAGACCATTCGCTGATTTTTTTTGGCCAAAAATGCCTTATCAAACGTCTGCCAACCAAATTGGATAAACAATAGCATAACGTCGCACCCAATGCCGAGCAAAAGCAAATAAGAAAAAGCGCTATCGGGAAACGATATAAGAAACCTAATAAAATGGAAAGAAATAATGATCCTGGAATGGCAAATGTCTGCAAGCTGAAAAGGAAATGAGATACGCGCAAAAGTTGAGGAAACCCAATAATTAAATTTTAAATAATTATTTTTTAGTTGAGCATGTAAAGCTTTCTACAAAACTAATTCATAATATTTAGTAATTTTAACGATCCTTTCATAAAAATTAAGTGGACGTAATAATTTTGTACTCGAAACTTTGTTGTATTGGAGGAGGAACATTGGCGTAGCTTCACTAACTAACTCGTAATAATTTCAAATTAATGAATGAATGCTACTCACATATTCACAGTGCACATGTTTAAGTTTCAACTAAAAATATTTCCCATTATTGTTTTCGATTGCGATTTCAGGCGCTATAACGCGCACTTTTCCCTCGTTTATCCATTTTTCGTTCGATATTAGATTAAATGACTTACTTGCCTTTAGAGATTAAGGCAAATAAATATCGCTGATTTTCAAGCGCCTTCAGATGCTCGATTCATATTAAACCTTAACTTAACGTATAGCAAGCAAAGCTGTACGCTTCTTAAAATATCTGCCCCTTCACTAAGTACAATCTTACATAATGTTAGTGCGTCTGTACGTTACCATACCATACCAACATCTCTTGTATTGTTATAATTGGCAAGAGAAGGAATAAATGTTATCAATATATCAACTACCAATAATAATAATATCTTATGTTCATTATTATAACTTATTATAACTAAAGCAATGGAATTTCGATTATTTTCATAGCATTTGCTGTGCGTGCATATGTTTGCCTGTACAGAAAATTATACACCATATTTCAAAAAAATATATACATAAAAATGAATTAATTAAAAGATAAAGCTAGATCCGCGCACAAATTTGATTAAGAGATGGTCCAAAGGGATCTTAAAGGATCTTTACATTATCAAAAGGCTACACATGTGCTTAGTTCGATCAAAAAATGAGTATGCCTCTTGTTGTGTGATGTCCTCACTATGTAGGTTCAATTGAATGCATAGCATGAATAGCGGTCAAAAGCAATTCTTACCGTTGGCCCTTAGCAATTTATGTTGGAACCGCTTTGACTCTCTGCCTCCTTATAAAAAATAAGTTGCTTCTGTTATGCTTACTTGGTGTTTCCTTTCTAATCAAGTTAATTAATTAATGGTATTATCGATTCGTCGACATTACTTGGCAAGATAAGCTTTAATGTCTCTAATCGCGTCTCTAGACTATATATTTTCATTAGCTTTGTCGATCTAAATATAATTACGAGTTGTTTACATCGTATTTAAACTAATTTTTAATCTGAATATTTTATGATGATTCGAAAATTAATTGGGTTTTCTTTACTGTATCGATTGCCAAGCATTTGCATGTTTGCAATACCTCTGCGCTGAACTGGACACTTGCAGCTTGGTTCTGTACTGGTTATGTGTATGTATGTCTCCTTGTGCTAATTGGACGCATGTTTCTTTTTTTCTTACCTATTTATTTATACATGAATTATTATTTAATTCATTTTTTTTTTAATTTTTTTTTTTTTTTTTTTTACTTCTCCTTATATACTTTAGACCAGTTTTCAATAATAATCACTACAAGTGTTGCTTGTACGAGCCAATTGAATTCATTTTAGCTGCGTTTTATATGTAAATAAATAAATGAAAAAAATAAATTATTAAATCCAAATGTCAGACCATAATGGCTATAGCCTCTCTTTGCAATAAATTACAAGAGATTATTCATTTAAAGTGGTTAGGGTAGGGATCAACACACAATATATGTCCAAATCAATTTAACAAACAATTTGCATCCATATGAACATGACATTCGAGATCAAGTATTGCTATACGAATTGTGACTTTTAAAATTTCGTGGGCTACGTACATTCGAATTTCGAATTTTTTTTTTTTTTGTATTTTTAGTTTTCTTTTGATAGATAAAAAGATCAACACTCCACACTAACCGATGAAAACGTTGAAGTAGTGAAGAAAATCATTATGGAGTAACGTCGATTCACTACTAAAGAACTTTTTGAGGATGTCGGCATATCGATTGGTTGGACTAAAAAAACCGTCGTATGAGCATCGCTCAGGAGCTGTAGAGCGGCTGATTGAAAATGTCATACTTGTTTCCTTCCCATGATTAAAAGGATCCATGAAAAGAGGTAGTTCTGCCACGACTAACTAGATAAAGACAGTATTGCTGGAAGAGCTGAAGATCATACCAAAAAAAGCGCATATCGGAAATGCTTCGAAGATACGAAATTGCTTTACTATACTATATCTGATCCAAAAAGCACAACTATATTTTATTTATGGAGGATTACTGGAAAGTGGACAAAATAGTTATTATTGAATAAATATTTTTCGAGAATAGCCACTCTTTCTTTTGAACACATCTCATATTGATGGAGTCATGTAATACATTTCACCCAATTGAGCAATTATTTCATAATCTATGTGACAGGAGACGATGTCCTGTCCTGATAAAAATAAACGTCATCCGTCAAAATTAGCGCGCAAATCTTATTCGGCTGGGACCAATTTTCTATATACCCATCATATTAATCCAATTTTTACTTATCGGGACGCGATACAATAGATAAAATTGATATTATATAAGTTACTATTACTGGATTGGTGGTAAGGAGTTTTGGAAATGGCTTTTATTTAGAATAAAATGAAAGAAATGAAAATTTAATCACTCATACTATCAGACAGACAGACAATTTCATTTTCATATAAAAAATATTCAGAATAATTGTCAACGTTTCTTCTTCTTATTGTTTACTTTAGGAGTAGTAAGTGGAGAATATTAAAAGAGTGGAAAAATGAAAGTGTGAATAATAAGCAGAAACCATTACGCAAATCTAGAATAGTTCAGTCTTCTATTTTTCATAATTTATGAGCGGCACGATTTACTGTAGGCGTGTCCTTTAATCGATTTGATCTATTTTCAATACAATTTTTGCGATCAAGAGAGTGCCATCAGTATCCATTCATATAGCTAAATCGATTCAGAATTTAACGCTAATCGGATGTTTAAAGCTTTTTTTTTTGGTTGTTGCAAACGTTATAACGAAATTGGTATAAACCATTCTTCCTAGAATAGTGAGTGTAAAAGAAGTCAATCAGCATAGTAATGTCCGAAAAGGCACATCGGTTTTAAAAAAGTGTCGCCCCAGTTACACCGACAGTCCAAAAACTAAGCCAAACATTGACTTGTTGCGGTGATGGAACCGGTTTTTCGACTATTCCTATTCCAGATAGTCGAAAATGTTCCTCATCATTTCGAATAGTTTTATTTAGAAATTTTGTAATGAATTTTCATTAGTTCAATGCGTTAATGCTTATGTACATCGATCTATATTCGAATAATAACAGTTAAAGTTGTGTAAAATGAATTTCCTACACAAGATTACGTCAAAATCCAAATCACCCAATATTTTGACACATAATTTCAACTATTCCTTATATGAACCGGTGGGTGTAATATAATGTTTAATAGAGTCACCCATGTTGAGACAGTATTACTGATGACAAAGATAACATAAGCGCACAGGCAAAGCATAATATGAAAAGAATCAAATTTATAATAACCTCAATAATTATTTATAGCTATATAAGCAAATAGTAGCGATAGCCAATAGAGTACATGAGATAAAATAATTGTACAAATAATTTTGATATGTTATCGATAATGCTACCAAAAGTATAAATGTACACGTAAAAATTTTGCACGCTCGTACCGCAGAGACATGCTTACATAAATTTACTGCAAAATATTCAAGGTTATTATTAATAATAGATAAAGGAAAGGTAAATGACTGCGCAGCAAAAAAAAAAAAAAAAAAAAAAAAAAGTGGGGGGCACGTGATTCATGAATAAATAACTTTTCTAAGCTTAATTGTCGTCAAAAACGAGATAGAAGTCTTATCATCTATTAAATGAAAAGTAAATTTGGCATTAGATCGTCGTTTTATACTCAACCTGCTTCTTTTTTTTTTTTTTGTTTTTTCTCATTAACAAAAAGGATACAATATGTAAGCGACCACTACGCCAAACATCACTTCGAAGTAGTACATATCCTTGTAACGATCCAATACTTTAGCCAACATTTTGGCATCTTGTATATCACGTGGTATTTTCATATGCTGCTTTTCCGATCTACACAAAGAGAGACGGAGGGAAAAAAAGAAGGGAGAGAGAGAGAGAGAGAGAGAGAGAGGGAAAACACTTTTTGAATAAATATTTTTTAAACAAGAAAATCATGAGATGATGACGTATATAGAAAAAATCAAGCGTACACTATAGCAACTAGGAAACAAACAACACGACACGGCACACATATTTTATACAAACAAACGACGTACGCATACAATTGCTCTATAAATTTAATTTCGTATTTGTATCGTATATATTGTTTGTGTGCTGTTTACCGTTGTCGTATCATTTCGTTTTCAATTTAAATTAAGAAATTTTTACCAAAGAGTAAAAAACACAACAAAACATCAACAATAACAATAACAACAATAAATCTGGTCTTACACATAAATTAGCAATGGTTGTTGGAAAATGAGGTGATACCTTACGTTGCCGTAAACATATCAAATTAGTTGAAATTTCGTAATCATTTATAATTGACTATAGCAAACTAT